TACGGGTCACACCACACGCGCGTCATAATACGCGCCGTACGAAGCACGCGCGCATGAACGCTCGGTACTTATATCGTACGAGGACTTGCGCACAGCAAGAGCTTCGTTACCCGAGTTCACAGGAACAAGGGCCGAGGACCCCGTACGGTACATTAATAATACCGAGTCGATTTTGGTGCAAGCTCGTATACACCACTCGGGCTGGTGCAGGGCGGTCGAGCCGCAGTTAAAAGGAACGGCGAGTGTATGGTACGCATCCATAAAAATACTCGACCTATCCTGGGAAGAATTTAGGGTTGAGTTTTTAGAAAATTACAACAATTCCGAAATCCAATCCCAACTGCGCGCCGACATCGTGTCAACACGACAAACGTCTAGACAATCTCTAACGGAATTTGTGCTAGTTAAAAACCAGCAAGCGCGCCGCGTAAATACCGGCCTATCCGAGTCGGAATTGGTAGGTATTATAGCAGGATTAACGCGCGACACTTTCCGAACACACATCCGTCTACAACGGCCATTGACGTTCGACGAGCTACGACGCATCGCAGGCGTTTTGGACCCGGTAACGGACAGCACCAAACCGACCCCCCAACAATGGGCCCCAAAACCCAAAAACCGGGCGGATACCCCACAAACAGCCGCCCCGGTCAAAAAAAAATTTTTTAAAAAATCAACAGATGATCACCCACCGGGGCCGTGCAGGTATTGTGGGGAACTCCACTGGAACAGTAAGTGCCCACACAAACCGACCACGTCGGGAAACGGCGGGGGAGTCGACGGGGACTAGTCCCCCCCCATCGACTCAACACCACCCCCCCCCACCCATCACCAACCACTATCGGTAGTACACACGGAAAAAAAACACGTAATCGAAAAGCGCGTAGTTCGGTAATTCAACACACAGAAAAACCAACTACGAAAATTTTTTCCGTCTCACCACCAATCGGCACCCGTCCACAGACCCCCAACCTACACCACCCCACCACAGAACACACTCACCTCACCGGTGACACGTGTGTTCAACAACAACCGGCTCATGGGGCAGCCACAGGTGTAGGGACAAAGGCAACAGAGACACGGGTGTTCACCTGCACAGGTGACGGGGATACAAGCACACACACCACGCTTATCCGCGCATTAGGTCAGTCTGCGCACGTAAAACAAGAGGCGAGCAACGAGGCAACCGACGTTGACAGTATGGTCATGGCGGTTGACACCGACGACCAGACAGTTACCGTCGCGGTTAAGAACCAATTGTCCCGCTCGACCGATTGCACTACGACTAATAATGATACACGAACACGCCCAGACAAAATTCCGACCCCCGCGGTCGAGCTCGAATTTCCGTCAGGCTTCGTAACAGCTCTATTAGATTCGCAGGCACAAAAATCGTACGTAAACCCGACAGTAGCCCGTAAATACGGCAAAACACCTCCCCACGGACCAACAAACACAGTCCGGATGGCGGACGGTCACACTGCAACAACCAGTGGCACCTCCACATTCGAAGCTAGGATAGGTACACTCGATATAAAATTCGAAGCTACCATCCTAGACAATTTGTATTGCGACGCGTTACTAGGACACGACTTTCTTGTAACCAATGAAGTCTCTTGGGATTACGCCGCATGCACAATTCACATGGTTAGGCAAATTCGTACGTCGACATGCTGGAAAGGGAAACCACAACCACCCGCCACTCGTCCCGACTTGTCACAATTACAATTTGGAAACGAACCCGAAACTCGCGCGAAACTAACCAAGATTTTAAACAAATACGCGGTAGTATTCAGCGAAAAAGTAGGACGTACCAAACTAATTGAACACGAAATTTTGCTTAAAGACCCGTCCCCAATCGCGCTCAAACCATACCCATATCCGCAGCAAAAACAAACCGCTATCGATGATATGGTGCGCGATATGGAACTCCAGGGGCTCGTAGAACCTAGCACCTCCCCGTGGGCCGCACCGGTAGTATTGGCAAAGAAAAAAGACGGAACTTTTCGTCTCTGTGTCGACTACAGGCGGCTTAACGACGTAACGGAATCCGACGCGTACCCAATGCCAGATCTCAACAAAATTATTAGGCAAATGAGGGGCGCGAAAATTTTCAGCATTTTTGACCTTAGGTCGGGGTACTGGCAAGTACCACTACACGAAAATGAGCGAAAATACACGGCTTTCCGGACACGTAGAGGTCTATTCCAGTTCAGAGTCCTCCCCTTCGGTCTCAAAAATAGTCCAATGACTTTCGTGAGACTCATGAACGAGGTCATGAGGGGGTGCCAGGATGATTTCGTACAAGTTTACCTAGATGATATTGTAGTATTCTCAAGGGACGAGTACGAACACCAGGCCCACCTAGACAAAGTTCTCGAGCGCCTCAAGAGATTCGGATTAACGTGCAACACAAAAAATGTAAAATCGGTCTTCGCGAAATTTCATTTTTAGGGCACATAGTAGACTCGGAGGGCATACAAAAACAACCGGAAAAATTGGTATGCATCGATAATTTTCCGGTTCCCAAAAAAGTTAGGGACGTACGTAAATTTTTGGGCGTGTGCAATTGGTACAACCAGTTCGTAGATAATTACGCGGATACCATAGCACCCCTCACTAATTTATTAAAACAGGGGGTTCGGTGGAAATGGACAGATGTAGAACAACGAGCGTTCGAATCAATAAAAAACGCGCTAGTCACATCGCCGAAATTGTCCCCACCCGATTACAGCAAAACGTTTTGTCTCCAAACCGATGCAAGCGAGATAGGAGCTGGCGCGGTACTCTTCCAACGGGGTGACAGACCGGAGGAAAGACGCATCATATCCTACGCAAGCAAAAAGTTTAGCGAGACACAGACGAGGTACGCCGCGGTAGAACGCGAGTGCCTAGCAGTAATTTGGGCAACGGACAAATTTCGGCCATACCTAGAAACCCGACGTTTCGAACTCCTAACAGACAACTCGGCACTGACATGGTTACACAGGGCTAAAGACAAAAATTCAAAATTAACACGTTGGTCACTACAACTAGCTAATTTAGATTTTAGTACGGTACACGTCCCGGGAATACAAAACGAAGCACCCGATTTGTTATCCCGCGACCCGGCACCGGGCACACCTGTAGACGAAGATCGACTCGAGGAAAAATTGGTAGGGGCACCTGTAACGCCGACAACCAATGTTGACCCCGAGTCGGATCGCATATTCTCCATGTTCGATAACCACGGCAGTGACGACACACCACTCACCGCGTCGACGCTCGAAAAGTGGCGGTCCGAAGACGCCGCGATCCGCGACATAGTCGCCGGTCATAAGTGGGACGGACCAACGCGAAACACTAGGAGCACAAAATCGGGAACAAACACATATGTTTTCTCCGACGGTCTCTTACGGCACACCGGTGAAGTTCGGCAAGGGCGACGTAGTCTACTACAAAGCACACCACCTATCTAAGGCACATAAAGATTTTCATGCCGGGTTCGCACCAAAGTGGTGGGGACCGGTAAGGCTAGCGAAGCAGGTCGGTAAAGGAGTCGTTCTAACCGACCAAAAACCGCCGCGAAAAATACATGTGTCGTGTCTAAAACGCGCGCCCACAGGTCAAAGTAAATAAACATTTGTCTGTACTAATCACCATTTACAGACAACATGGCCGACCAACAACAACAGGTGAAGTGGCAGCAGGTGGCCGACCTAATTCAGCGGCTGGGGCTGGTGCCCAGTGGCCAGGATGAGCCGCGAACAGCCGCCCAGGTCGCGAGGATGTCGACCCGCCAACTCCTTCAGGACCCGGTGCGGGCGGCCATCTACAACCGGGGCTGGGCGGACCGCACAGCGGACATCCAGCGGAGGTTGCGGCCACAGCGACCACCTTCAGCACCAAGCAGCCGCACCCCATCACTGACGCGGCCACCAACACCAGCAACCACGCCTGTCCTCCCGACACCTGGCCCCGCAACACCCGCCCCCGTGACACCTGCGGAGCCGACACCGGTACCCAGGTCAACGGGGGTACACCCCGCCCCGACGGTAAGGGTGAGGACGGAAGCACAGCAGGCGCGGAACCGCAGAAAGTTCCAGCAGCTGAAGGAGAAGAGGAAGGCCAGGGAAAGCGAGGCAAGCCAACGACATCGGCTTGCCAAGCAGCCTGCGCCAACCTCAGACCCGGAAGCAGCCTGCGTGCCACCGACCCACCACATACCGCCGGTAGCGATGGAGGTAGACAAACCGGCGCCCGAGGACCGAAAGTCCGAGGAGCCGGGAACATCTACCAACCAAACGCCACCTAACCAATCAGGGACCCCGGACGGAATAACCGAGTCGGATTGGTTGGTGGCATTTGAGGGGTTGCCGGAGATGGAGTACGACCCCGCGTACTACACTCCGGTAGGGTCCCCAAAACACGGATAAACACCACCTACGGGCGCGGGCGAGTCTACCTCAAGCGGAAGCCAGAGGTAGTACAAGCCACCCCCGTAACGACACACCGGCACTAGTACAAGTGTACCCCGTGTGGCGGTTTGGCAGGGGAGTATGACACGGTACGCAGCGGCAACCAGTACAAAGTACAGGTACCGCAGCGGCCGGTCTACGCTTTTGTCAACCGCCACCACGGGCTGCATATAAGCATTCTGTACATGAGCTCGGCACCTGTATTAAAATCAAGCTCTACGATTGGTTTATTTGAAAATGCCGCCCAATAGTTTATATAATCAATAATAATATTATTATCATAGAATTATATCAGTTAATATATCAGTGCCAATTATTTGAATAAGTAATAAAACTATTATTGTGTAGGTACCTATAATAGTACCTACTTATAGTACCTACTCAATATAGTTAAAATATAAATAATAAATACAAATAATATGTAAAATTATCATTTAAATAGTTAATATTAATATTATAATATATATTAATATTAATATTATTATATTCTATATTAAAACTAATACCTAGTTATATAATTCTTTATTTCTGTAAATCACCAAGATGTTTGATTTGATAGAAATTAAACCAGGTACATTTCGTGCCAATTTATTGAACGAAGATGATATTAAATCATACAGCTTAAAAACAAATACAAATTGGTGTGTAGTAAGTAGTAAAATTTCAACTAGATTTGTTTGTCGGTAAGTACCTACCTATTTATAAAATTATAATAATTGTATAATGATGTCTACATTAATATTACCTTTAATTGATTTCATGAATTTTAATATGAACATAGGAAAATATTTAAATGTCACCATAGTTCTTTTCATAAGAAAACACCTGAAGAAAATAAGAAAGGAAAATCAAAAAATAGTAATTGCCAAGCAAAAATTGAAATTTTAATTAAACTTTCAACTAAGGATACTAAAAAAAAAGATGTGTATGTTAAGGTAAATATTATTATATATAAATAGGTATATAATATATTGTTAATTTGTGTAATATTGTAAAATAGATACATATAATATTTGGTAGAATACAATAGTCAATAATAGTTTGATTTCATCCAAAATCTAAACTCAATTAACTTAGACTGATACAAATATTCAACATTTTAGGACGGACTTCCAGCAGTTATTTCAATTCAGAATGATCATAACCACACAGTTGTTTCTGGAGAGGCATTATCTTATTTAAGACCAACAAGAGATGTAAATATCCAATTTGAAGAGTACTTTAACAGTGGTCTTGGTTAGTTATTACTTTTTAAAATTATTATAACACTGTTAACAAATTTAGAATTGTATTTCATATAGTTAAATAATGTAACTCATATTTACTTTAGGACTCCACCTATTAAAAATAATACCTTGTTAATTTACATTATTATTAGGAATAAGTGAATCCATTAAGATTCATGAAGAAAAAATTGAACTTAAACATGGTATAAATTCAACTGAACTGGCAAATGCACATATGAATCCTAAATACAGAACTGTTAGATATTGGTATGATGAGTGGAAAAAATTAAATCTTGGTCCACATAGTGGAATTGGAGTCAATAAGGTACATCTATAATTTACCATCGTATATTTATATTTTTAGCATTTTTTTGTAAATGAAATAGAATATTAGAATATTTAGTTTGGATTGAAAAAATCCAAGCTTTCCCCATTTACTTTTAATTTGTTAAATTGCAATTGTGTGATTGATATTTTTAATTTAAAATTCTAATGCAAAATGATTTTTCTTGAAATATTTTATGTTTAGTTCTTAATTTTAATCAATGGTTTAAAAGTCATAATAGATACTGCACTATAATTTGTTTAAAACAATGAATATCACTACAACAATTGATAGAAGGAGAAATATCTATATACTTATATTAAAAGTTTTAAACACGTCTACTTAAAAGCAGGTACCTATTATTATGAAGACTAATATAGTAGGTATAAGATTATTTTATTTTGGATTTAAATGTTCTTACTTAAGATTTATTAGTTCAAATAATCAGAAAGGAAATTAGTTAACTATATTGCAAATTTAAGCCTGTCAATGAAAGATAAATAAGAAATTATGAAATTTTTAATATAAGGAATAAGAATTTTAGACATATTATTATAAGTATAACTACCTATATACTTAATTACTAATTATTATTTACAAATTAATCAAACATATCTTTAATGGTTAGTCCCGTGTGATTTGGCATTAGGTATATTTAAGTTAACATTCTCTTGAAGATTTCTTTTTCTTTTCACTATCTTTTTCTTTTTTATTCCGGTTACTGGTCGTCCAACTGGTAATCTTTGACTTCCTCTAGTTATTCCTGGTTTTCTTCTACTAACTGTTGTAGGTTGGACTCTAATTGAAGCACGACTTCTGTGTCTTAAAGATATGGAACTTCCAGCAGTTGCCAAAAAACTATCCCAACCAGTTGCAGTTTTAACATTTTCCAACCTCTGAATACATTTAGAAAGAATAGGTAAAGATGTAGATTGATATTTTGAAAAATTATTAGAAATTAAGCTACAAATCTTTTCTTTATACTCTTTGGCTAAATTTTCATTTTGAATTATTTCTAAATTCATATTAATATTATCGTTTATGACAGTATCATCAGGGCATTCTATTGTATTAGATGTAGATGTAGATGTAGATGGCAAACAATCAAATGTCAAAATCTCTGATTCACTAAGGTTGTGTGTAATATTAGGTACTAATGGCATATAAAATTCTTTTTCTTGTACCGCATCACCAAATGCTAATTTTGCTAATAAATACCGAGATTCAGAACTTATAGCGGGTAAATTTGGCATTTTATCTTTATAAAAATTAAAAACTGCTGCTTGATGCTTACAAAATGACCCAAATTTTCCTTTAATACATGAACAATATCCAACTGCAGTATTCACTTCATAAAAATCTGATAACCCGTGTTCTTTTATTACTCTATATAAATTGTCTCCAATTGACTCGATTAAATCTTTTGTAATATAAGCTGATCGACTCAGTTGGTCTTCAAATAGTAATCTAGCAGTATCATGCCGACCATTAACAAAATTCCTAAGACGCCTAGTGTAGTACTCTTCCATGCTTGTGCATATAAAGTCAACCAAAGCCACTGCATTGTAGGCTTTATTACGTGAAAGAACAATATCTTTAAAGATTCTTACATTGACCTCGCTAAAATTATTCGTATGATGTCCATGCATTGATTCATCTCTAAATGCAATACACCAAAGTTCCTTTCTCTTCCAATAATTGTTCATATAGTTTATCCACTGGGGATATTTAGTGACTATATTATATGCATCATTATTACTCAGAATTCCTGTCACAATTTCGAATGCTATTTCAGCTTCTTCTATAGTTGGTGCCTGTAAACATGCTTGAAATTGTCCATATAATATTTTTCTATCTGCAGCATCAATATTGTGTTTTTTTTCAAACAACCAACGCCAAACCGATTGACATATATGAAATCTACATAATAGTGATTTAGAATCTGGCCATACATATTGAAGGGCCTGCCTTTCAGCCTCACTATCGTCTGTTATAAACTGTAATGGATATCCTTGTGAACAAAACGCTAACGGTACTGCCTCTTTAAGTAAATTAAATGCAGCAATATAATCGTCTGATGATTGACCTTTAGTGATCATAACTGCTAAAGGTACTGCACCTATACCACAAGCAGTAAGCATAAAAGTAACCGAATGACCCTGTGAATCACATGATGCTGTGCTATCAACAAATGCAATATCTTTAGCAAAATTTAAACTATGTGCACGTTGCATAATGGGAGTTATAATGGTTATTGCGAAGGGATCCTCTTGAAACTTTACTATAATATTATTTTTTTCATATTCATAAATTTTTTCCTCCAATTTCTGTAAACCAAATCATATGATAACTTAATAAAGTTTTAATCTAACTGAAATAATATATTTAATTTGTAATTGAGCTATTCATTTAAATAGTACAAAACAACTGTGGGATCAATAGGGTATATATTATTATAATATTACAATTTACAAATATCAATAGAAATGAGCTAATAAACCTAAACTAAAAAAAGAACATTAAAATCCAAAATAAGATATTAGGTAGGTATATATCATACCTAATTTTAAAGTATGTGAGTATTATGTAAACTATATTAATTAGTTTATATAAGGTACTATTTTATAATATTTTAATATTTTATTTTTTATTCCACAGACATTTTGGGACATGGGTTAATTTTATTTTTAAACAGAAACCTATTATAATAATTTGTATCACTGTATTCTAAGTTTTGCAGTTTAGTAGAGCAGATGAAAAATAATGCATAAATAAATATAGATATTTCTCCTTCTATCAATTGTTGTAGTGATATTCATTGTTTTAAACAAATTATAGTGCAGTATCTATTATGACTTTTAAACCATTGATTAAAATTAAGAACTAAACATAAAATATTTCAAGAAAAATCATTTTGCATTAGAATTTTAAATTAAAAATATCAATCACACAATTGCAATTTAACATATTAAAAGTAAATGGGGAAAGCTTGGATTTTTTCAATCCAAACTAAATATTCTAATATTCTATTTCATTTACAAAAAAATGCTAAAAATATAAATATACGATGGTAAATTATAGATGTACCTTATTGACTCCAATTCCACTATGTGGACCAAGATTTAATTTTTTCCACTCATCATACCAATATCTAACAGTTCTGTATTTAGGATTCATATGTGCATTTGCCAGTTCAGTTGAATTTATACCATGTTTAAGTTCAATTTTTTCTTCATGAATCTTAATGGATTCACTTATTCCTAATAATAATGTAAATTAACAAGGTATTATTTTTAATAGGTGGAGTCCTAAAGTAAATATGAGTTACATTATTTAACTATATGAAATACAATTCTAAATTTGTTAACAGTGTTATAATAATTTTAAAAAGTAATAACTAACCAAGACCACTGTTAAAGTACTCTTCAAATTGGATATTTACATCTCTTGTTGGTCTTAAATAAGATAATGCCTCTCCAGAAACAACTGTGTGGTTATGATCATTCTGAATTGAAATAACTGCTGGAAGTCCGTCCTAAAATGTTGAATATTTGTATCAGTCTAAGTTAATTGAGTTTAGATTTTGGATGAAATCAAACTATTATTGACTATTGTATTCTACCAAATATTATATGTATCTATTTTACAATATTACACAAATTAACAATATATTATATACCTATTTATATATAATAATATTTACCTTAACATACACATCTTTTTTTTTAGTATCCTTAGTTGAAAGTTTAATTAAAATTTCAATTTTTGCTTGGCAATTACTATTTTTTGATTTTCCTTTCTTATTTTCTTCAGGTGTTTTCTTATGAAAAGAACTATGGTGACATTTAAATATTTTCCTATGTTCATATTAAAATTCATGAAATCAATTAAAGGTAATATTAATGTAGACATCATTATACAATTATTATAATTTTATAAATAGGTACTTACCGACAAACAAATCTAGTTGAAATTTTACTACTTACTACACACCAATTTGTATTTGTTTTTAAGCTGTATGATTTAATATACTCTTTAATATCATCTTCGTTCAATAAATTGGCACGAAATGTACCTGGTTTAATTTCTATCAAATCAAACATCTTGGTGATTTACAGAAATAAAGAATTATATAACTAGGTATTAGTTTTAATATAGAACTTTTTCAATAATTAAATAATTAGTTTCAATGGTTCTATGATAATAATATTATTATTGTAATTGAAAATTGAAATGTATAAAACAATACATAGATCCTATGCTCAATGATAACATTAATACTATTATAATGATTACAATTATTTACAAATACAATTATTAGTGAGATTAACAATTATAGTATCAATTATTATTTTCTTTACAATCAGATTTTTGGACTTTCCTTTTACATAGCCCATTTTTTAATTAAATTGTTAACGATAAAGTTATTTTAAAAAGTAATAATTAATTCTTCTAGTTGGTTAAATAAGTGTTGGGTAGATAATACTTTACAATATTACTCAAATAAACAGTGCACCTTCCTATAATTAAGATATAGTATTTAGTACCAATAGTTAAAAGGGTATTGTACATTTTAATTTTCACCTGAAAATCGCTATTTTTTGATTTTACTTTATTATTTTTATTAATTTATTCCATATTTCAGCTCTATTTTTTCATAACAATAACAGTTCTATACTTAGAATTAATATGTGCATTTGCAAGTTCAGTTTAATTTATTCTATGTTCACTTATGCTTAATAAGAATGTAAACTAACTAAAAGCTATTATTTTTAATAGGTAGAATCCTAAAGTAAATATGAGTTACACATATGAAATACAATTCTAAGATGGTATTAATATAATAATTTATATAATCATCAATTTTAAATTTAAATAATTATTAGGTATCTATTTTACAATATTACCTACCTACTTGAATAAATAGAATACCTAAATAATATATTATTACTTGTAAGCTATATCAATTTCATCCAAATAATTGGCACAAAATAAATTATTTATTTCATATA